TAGCTGTCAGACACTGGTACAAAATGGACGACCCCTGTGACTAGTTGTCAGCTGATTTTTGCTTCAGCGCAAAAAATAGCAAAGAAACATTTTCCACCATTCGATTTCGATTGGTAATAACAAAGAACGGGCCGAAACAATTTTCTTCTCCAAATTTTAGCTTTTCCAAGAATCGTGTCCATAGCATCATTACTCACAGCTCATTATGTTGGTGGTCATCTCATACACCTGGTTCTGGACGTTGAGATTACGGTTGAAGGTTAGCTGACCAATATCCGCCAGCCTCTCTGCTGCTGACAGGAGATCTGTTGATGAAAAAAGGAGACAAACTTACTGATATCTATATGGATTATTCACCTCAGTAAAGGAAAAAAGTTACAAAGTTTATTTACAACTGTTTTATGCAAATAGCAATTTTGGAATATCTGTAACAAATTTGGAAGCAGCAAAGAAAATTAATCAGACAGTTGAGCTCTACAGAATCAAAAATTAAGCTTTTTCATATTTTAACTCATAATCACAGCTGAGATTTGTTCAAAGCAGCAATTTAATATGGCTTACTTTACATGCGGATTCCACAAAATTGTTTTAAAGGCAATCCACTTCTAGCATTATTCTACAGCTCACTATCACCGATGACTGTTCATATTTTATCCTTCAAATCATATTAGTATAAATGTTCTGATGGACGTCAAACAGGAAAGTGGAGACTCGGAATCAATGTCCTGAACTCAGACTGGTCTGTCTGTACCTTTGTCACGGAGAGCAGTGATCAGGGAGTCTTTGAAGTCCATGACAATCTGATAGGCACGGAGGTAGTCTTGTACTACTGGGTGTTCAGCGATGGACTCAACAGATTGCCTGGTAGGAGGGCACGGAGTAGAAAGGATGTCATTCACTTCAAGGAATTAGCTTCCGTAATTCAAATTCTTCTTAATTGGGAAACCTAAAGAAAAACTACTATTTACTTATCCTCAGTTAACTTCCTCCCCCACAGAAGCACATGTATGTGAGAGCCTGTTAGGGAATACCTACCCAAACACTTGCTACTTTCGCAAATTTCCTTTCACCCCTTTTGCCATTCACCAACAACTTGATCAACTGTAGTATGCCCTCTAGTACTACGATGCAGCATCGTGCTGCTGCAATGTTCGTCCTTTTTTGGAGCGCCAATGCCAACAGACATGTCATTTGCTAAATTTGCTAAATTAGTGACTATTTGGGTAGGATGAGCACAACGGAACTTTGATAATACTCCTCATAGAATGTTGAAGTCAAGTGTCATGAAGTCTTGTACCCATTACACGATCTGCCTGATTCCACAGGTTTCCTTCTAACCGTCTGAAGGATTCCACCCACATTAATACAAACATTTTTTCACTGTAATGTCTCTGGGCTTCCTTAGGCTTCAAACCAGCAGTAACTTATGTATTCTTGGGAGGATCCCTTTGTTTCTTTTTAATACTAGAATTAAAATGAATCACACAATAATGTCCACAAACATGATCTTACTTGGATGTCTTGCTGGATACAGAGAAGGCAACAGGTGAAGTAGCTGTGTCCATTTTCTCAACTGAAACCCAATCAGAATAAAACATCCATTCACACCCCCAACATTCAGTGGAAATGAAAGCCCTTGGCAGGCTGGTGTTAAAAATGCATCCCTGCTGAAGGATACGGGCAAGAGAGTCTGTTCATCACTTCGTCAACGTCGTAGTCTCAGAACTGTAGTTGAGTCCTTTTCAAAATTTGGCAAGTATAAAAAAATGCAAGGTGCAGCTGAAATCAAGCCTGACAAAACAGACAGCATAGTCTGAGCATTCAAATTTCCAATAATGGACAGGAGGCTGTGCGTATGGAAGCAGAAATCATGGAAATATCCAAGTATTTGGAAAAGAATGTGGACTTGATTCTGAGTCCTTTTGCACATTTCTAATACATAAACCTCCCTCAGAGCTGTCCATCTCAACACTTGTTCCTATTCCATTTATGAACTCATCCACACAGTCTTGTCGAGTAGAAATCACGTATACTTCCTTATCTTTAAAGCAACTTAAGGACTTGAAGAAGGACCCATCTACAACCCTGCCGTGCTTCAAATTCACATTCGTCATTTGCACATACACACAAATCTCAGTGCAACTGCAGGCAGCTATGCAGCTATCCTGTGATAGCTACTTTAACGGGGTGTTTCACATCAATCAAACCAGTGTGCCTCATGGTTTGTGCTGCGAATGGAAAACTACTGGAGATTTTAGTGCTGAGTAGCTACACAGTCATACACTGCAGGCTTCCACGTGTTCTTCCTGTAAGAAAACTCAAGCACATTATTGAGTCGGTCGCACAAAACCACTGGGCCATGAACATCACTAATTCACCCTTCCAGTGCATGAGCGCACTGTAAAAAATCTCCGTTACTAAGAGGGTGCACACTGCCAAGCCACTGTACCACATCACTTGAGTTTACAACTCATTTTACTCAAGCACTAAACCTCATGTTAGAAAACTCGGTCATGTTATGTGAGTAGGTCACGCCAAACCACTGTGCCACAGACACTGAGATATCACCCCTCCTACCATCCAGAATATCTCTGGCCCTGCTGGCAGGCATGGACACCAAGACCATGGTCTCATCTTCCACTGCCTCCCTTCCAAACTCCTCCTCCTCATGCATGGATGTCACACCAGACTCGTTGGACACTGAGGGCGCTACACTAGGAAACTGTACTGAGCTGCGCTCTCGGTAGTAGCTCATTGAGCTACGGTGTTTGGAGGCTGCTGGGTAGGTAGTTAAGGGAATAAACACAATAATCTCACAGATATCACAAACCAATGCGACGATACTATCCATCTTTAAGCTGCAAGGGGAAAATGTTTATTCAGTAAGGACATCTCATTCTCAGCGACTATACTAGGTTAGCTTTGATGAAGAATCAACTGGGTTGAGACGCTTATGTATGCAAAACAAAGCTGCCCTCTGCTGTGGGCTGTGCATCACAAGTTGATCATAACAGACCGATTGCATCAGCAAAGTCATGTGACCTATAGTGGATATCAAACATCAACAAACATGGCCTCCTTCCACAGCAAAGTGTGTCATAAGTGTTGTTTGCCAAAAATAATGCCAATTTTTGGAACAATGCTCAGCACATCAGTAGTCTGAGTACTTTACCGACCGTCTGCTTTAGTTTTGGTAAATGGCACTTATGACACACTTTGCTACCTTTGCTGATGTTTGTCAGGTCAAGTGACTTAAGGGGCACAATCGGTCTATTCCACTCACAAGTCAGTGTACAAATCTGGTCGCAAAGCATCCAAAGATGTAACTTCACACAAATGAGTGCCTTGTCATGGTTGAATTGAACAAAGCTTGTGACTGGATTGCTCTCTGGTGATCAACTAGTGAGGACTTGTGATGGACTTGTGAAGACTCATCAACATCCAAACCGGTACTGCATGCTGCATCAGTGTACTGCATGTGAGCACATCTGACTTCATGAGGAGAAGTGTTTTTCAAGAAACCAATGAAATCTTACAAGCTAGGGGGACCGTTGCATGCCCTCCTTCAGTTAGTCAGAAAAGTTGGTCCTCCCTTTAATATTCAAATTCATATCTTTTCAGTGAAAGCCTGGACTGTTATGGGTGTAGTTAAATAATACATGCGCCTATGGCAGCCTCTGTCAAGTGGCTACAACCGCTTCCCACAGAGGGGTGTGTAACTTGTAGCCATAGTCAGTTGATTCAGACATGGCCTATGTTTGGATTAGACAATGCAAGAGGGAAATAACTTACCCTCATCAGGAAATGGAATGTCCCCATTGGGGGTGGTCAGGTTGCTCCTAGGTCTGATACCCTGCCTTTCACTCTTGGCACTCAATAGGGAACCATGCATTGAAGTGGCACGTGACCGCCTCTCCACTATTTCTGCTTTCTTCTGCTCTAGCTGGGCGCGGTACTTCTCGTACAGCGATCGCTGACTGGTGGAAGATAGAGGGCGATCTTCATCTTCCCCACCCTCATCAGACTACAGAAGGACATGAGATGAATGGTGTGTTACAGAAGTCAATGAAACGGTGTTACCTCTGCAAGGTCCATGTTTTTATTCTTTGGGTGAATCTGAAAGTGTCATTCTGAGTTGTTCTCTTTTACATGGGCGTTGTGCAGTGGAAGTTGGAAATGTGACCTTGTCAAAGATTTTTATATCAAGTACTAATACTTAGATGACACAATTATCCATTCTCAGATGGTTCTGGCTTCTTATTTCAAATTCATGGACAGTGGCAAATTTGCATTCCTTTAAACATTTTGGTGCAGTTAAGAATCCAGCGTTGTGGTACATGTAATGTATTTGATTTAGCAATAGTGACTGAAACAAAAATCTTGACTTGTGATGGTTTAATTCGTCCAATGTACACTCATTGTTCAAGTGCCTCAGTGAATGGAAAAATAAATGTTATTATTTACTTTGAATTCAATGCAAATAAGTTCAATGAATGTGCAAAGAAAGTGTAGAAATGGGTTTAATGGTGAATGTAGATCCATAAACTGTGGAGGTGCATGAGTGGGCACATCGTGCCCAAATATCAGGTGTAAATGGGGAGTAATTTATAAAGCGAGTAGGGAAGGTACACCAGCACAAACACCAAACCCACAACAAATGTGAAACAATAACCAAACTGGAGTTAGCACTGAGTAACAACACGAGCAAAATCTACAAAGTAGGAAAAACTCAATCAACTCAATCAAGGCTGGTGTTCTTTGATAATGCAAGCGTTGTGTACATTACAAAATAAAATTCTCCAGATTTCCACTTGCAATTGGAATTCCTGAGAAAGGAAAATTCCACCAGTACAATGGTTATTGTAGTTCTTTACCTGTTTGCTTTTTAACCCTAACTCTCTAGGGAGTGTGCAAAATCATATTAAAATTGGAGGATTCAGGGCTGTTAGATTTAATAAGGACATTAGTTTGCACATCAATAAAATACCTCAATTAATTTGTCATTACAGCTGTTTTGGTTACACTTTGAACATGCATCATACAACTATGTTAAAATGTCAAATCAAACAAAATAAGAACAAAGCCCTGTTAAGAATAAAAGTCAAAAATATTGTTTAATGAGCTGTCAGAAATGAAGCGACTTCCATTTCTGGAAGTTCAGCACGGATTATACTTCGGTGCCTTCAGCTGTAAAGTAATAGAATCATGAAAAAAGGGGAGGCTTCTAAAAACCTCCTTCCTGCAAATGTCGCAAATTATCAGGCACAAATGCATTAATTCAAAGTATGAAGAAAACATTATTTACATGACTAATTAGATGCACTTATAATGGGCAAGTAAACACGCATGCATTTGCTATTATATTCTTAACTACTGACATTTAGTTCTGTTACACAAACTTTGTTAACCCCTTCGCGCAGGGACGCGGCTAGAAACGCTGTAAAAATTGAGATCCTCAGCCCGCTTTTCAGCTATTATTGTCAACCCACGCTCGAGCGAACACGGTGAAAGAAGGCAGACCCTGGCTCTTGTATATATGGTGATTGGCCTTTGTGTGTAGCCCAAAAATTAAAAGACTGAATTTGCATCATAATCAACAGCTTCACAATAGTCCCCACTTTGAAGAGGCAACGGGCATGAGGAAGCGTGAGTAGAGCCGCATGCCACCGAACAATCAGCCTTTTCACCATGTAATTCAAAGCGTGCAGAGCACGCAGGGCCACAAACCAAGAATTTGCAGTTTGGCAGGTGGCCTTCGTGCCGAAGCGAGGCTGGAATTCTTGGAGTCGGCTTTCGGGAAAATTTTCCTGGCGTGAAGGGGGTTAAACTATCGTTAAACGTGTGGTTTCTAAATTCCTATAGCTCTTTCTATTTTGAATGAACAACAACAATGTTCAACATTACTCTTCAGCCCTCTTTGTTCTTTATGGATCACACGCAGGTTCTGGAATTATTGGCATTCTTCAAGCCGATTCAAACAAAACCTGAACAAAATCTCACAAAAAGAATCTACCATAAAAGGAGTTGACTCCCCCAACAAAGACCACTGACTTTTGGGTTTATCAATCCGTTCAAAGTTTGTAAGCAAAGTGTCAAATTCTGCCTTAACAGGCATCAATAAAAAAATCAAGGTAAGTGTCATGTAAGTGGTCAAATCCCCTTGCGAGAAATAGCTTTGTAAATGCAATCAGCAAACTGACCTCTGATTTTAGAAATTTCATTCATGCTCCAGGAAATTACAATGCAGGAGAATGACTTTAGAATTGACCGACTTCCTGCTCCTTTTTTGCCTATAAGTACTAGTTATTGGCAAGCATAATGAAGCACCCATCACCATGCAAGGAGTAAAAGCATCTTGGACACAAACAGCGGGAGACCATGCCGAACCTAAACTGCCCTTACCAGAGTCAAGTCAGCCAAGACACGGCTCAAGTGATTAGCCAGCGAGCGCTCGCTGAACGCGTCTGATTCCACGTCGGCATCAAAGTCCGACTCCCGACTGAGAGGCCGAGGATTTGGCAGTTGGTCTTTCTCCCCCTTGTCTTCCTCTTCGTTGTGGGAGATTACTTGGTTTCGACGGGGGAAGGATTTAGTGTAGGACGGGGGTTTAGGGGTGGGTACCCAAGGGTCGGTTTGGGTGGTGATATCAACAAGACTCTTCTGCTGTGGGGGAGAGTTGTAATCATTAGAGACCTGTTGGAGGAAAACACTTCTGTCATCATGTGGTAAATTCTATTTGGTCTAAAAAGACCAAAGTAGCTACTTTTGAAAAATGAACCTCAGGGCTTAAGTACAAATAAGTGCTTCGTAAGTAAATTTCCTGTACAGAATGGTAAAAGATTTCTTTCTTTGGAAGTAAAGTTTTTCACTTGATAACACTGTTGTGTGGAAATACAATTGATCAAATGAAATCTCGAATGAAATCTGCTGATCTTAATAACTTCAAACATAAGGGAAAATCAAACCTTCACAAAGAACAATTTCAGCACAACTGGTTCAAAAAGTTTGTACAAAGAGGTTCACTTAGCAAAAGTAATCCACCCAATGCAATATTCAGAAAGTTCTTGAAGTTAGCAGCACACGTAGACGCTGATGAGTTAGCTTTTTGGACATTTGGTGATGCTAGATCTGTGACAAGAAAAATGAGTTACACTGTTATGCACATAGCAATGTAGGTATTACGTTTCCTGGTAGGAATGACAGTTACGGCTGAAGTTGTTGCCATGGCTATGGTTGCTATAGCAATGATGCGTCTCCAAGCTCAAAGGAAAGCATATTAGAAGGCAGAGTCACGTAATTCCTACTCCTGTCCAACAAAACTGAATGATATTTTGTTAATATACGCACAATGTCACTTGTTCATATTAATCGTTGATAAGGCTGCACATGGAACAGTGCAAAACAATAACGCTTCTTGAAAACAAAGTTAGCATCTGTCCACCTGTTAGTTGCTTCCCGTTAGACCCAATTAATACAGTGTCACATTTGCAGCGTGGATGTTGATGAGCATTAAATCAGTAAAATTCAAACAAAGTAAAACACCTGATTTGGCTGACCTATGCAGGAATAAAGCGATCTATGAATATCTACATGATCAAATCTAAATCCTCCATCCTTAGATTGTTGGTACGGGGTGCAGTGACTAATGTAGGAGCTGTAAGAAAGGCTTCTGTTCTATTAGTCTGCAAAAGGAACTGTGAAAAGCTTATATAAGATTCAGGGGTGAGACTGACCAATGACAAAAATAGCTAAAAACAGCTGACAAAAGGCACCAAGAAGCTGAACTGTGAAAATCTCCTACACTTTTGTACGCAGCCAGGGAGGAAAAAAATGAAACCCAGAACAAAAAAAGCTGAAATCAGCTAAAAAGCTGAGAAATGTCACCCCTGAAGATTTCCCCTTTTGATTCCAACTATGACCAAATGGCATAGAAACTGAAGAGAAAGAGCTAAACATTATTTGAGCTTCATCTGGATCTTCAATTGACCTACAATATAATGATGTAATGCGATGTTTACTGCAGTGCATTGAGGGTGACAGGTGGGGATGGTACATGCACTATTGCTAACATCCTACACTTGGAAAACTGTCAAAAAGATCCTGAGATTGAGAAGGCCTATATTTTCCAAAATGGTCATCTGTTCCATTGTGTGTATCAAGCAGAGGACCGCCGAATGCCAGAACTTTATTTTTTCCAAGCTTCCAAGTCTAAAGTCGCACGAAAGCTATCGGGACTTAAGATTCTCTCCCCAGTTTTCACCAACAATGCACTGCGGTAAACATTGTGAATGTCATTTGTTTTAGGTCTATTGTAAGTTGAGAACCTTTTTTGTGTTAACTAAGCACGTGATAAGTAAGCCTGTGGTAAATTAATTGCTTTCTGTCACCCCCGATTAATTCAGCATCACATTTGCAGCATAAATTAAAGCATTCGATCAGTCTGTAAAATTCCTAATGCTTGATTTTGCTGACTGCTAGTGTAGTGTGCAGTGCTAGTGACCAGTGTGAGCAAAAGAGTGTAGAGATCTGTAAAAAACACATCCGTTCTAGAAGTCTGCAAAAGGAACTGTGAAAAGCAATGTACAAGTCCTAGGTATTTTACCTAAAGGTACTTTACCTAAAGTCTCATCACCACCACGGAGAAGATAGGGGAATGCTCGTATTTAAAGGATTATTTCAGCGCTTTGACAAAGTTTATGTCCAAATGCAGGTGTTGTCTACATTCTGTGCAGAAAAAGCTTATTAAGATTTCAACTTTCAAACCCAATTATGACCAAATCGCGTGAAAAGAGAAGAGAGAGAGCTAAACATTATTTGAGCTTCAACTGGATCTTCTATTGCAAGTTGAGAACCCTCTTTGTGTTAACTAAGCATGTGAAAAGTAAGCCTGTGGTAAATCTAAATAGTCTTGGCATCAAGCGTTACTGAGGATTCAAGCACAAGGGGTTAATAAACAATGCATTGGTAGCCAGATTGCAGATTGTTAGTGCTCTGGTAGCTAGCCCATCTCCTTGTTTTACCTCCTCTACATTTGAGTCTGTGTCTATATATGCAGGGGGCTCCTCAACCTTCTGTTGGTTCGTGAGGCGTCCGGTGGCCATCAAGCGATTAAAAAGCTCTTGGTGCTAAAGAAAGGAGACGGAGAGCGCATAGAAGAAAACAGACAGAGGTCTTTCAGAAATGCACCACAGCAAAGCTTCGGAAGATACTTCCACAACTTGCATCATTCCAGGGTTAGAAGTCTTCCAACTGTCATCAACATTTGACCCACAAAACTCTGCAGGCAAAGCAAACTTTGTTGATTCCACTGGGTACATTTATGCCACAGTGCTGTAAACAAGAAGCTAGAAGGAAAACGCGTTTCTGGCAAGAAATAGTTCTGTCAAACATTACCCAGGTCAGGTCTACACGATGTTCAGACACTACTGCAACATTACCATGGAAGTTTTGAAATAAAACCAGAATGCCAAACAATGCCTCTGACCCTTCCCACAAATGTTACATATGGTGTAAATTAGTGAACAAGCTTGAAAACAGCAAGGACTGGTGGAAGCAACAAAAGATATAAGCGTCAAATGCAAGAGACAAAAAAAGTCGTGGTATGACCGCAGATGTTTCAACAAGCACACATCAACGTTTCAACATCAATCTCAAAGTCACAGCATAACCTTCAACAGACAAGCGTGTGCGAATGCGTGATTGGACAAAAGCCACACAAGCAATCTGTGTTTCCATCGGCACGCTTGTCTTACCCCGCGAGACTCCAAGCGTGAAGTCTGCTGGGAACGGCCCACCTGGACGACGGGGGTCGTCTGCATTTCATGATCAATGGCCTCAGAGGCGAGGCCCTCCATGGTGGGAGGAGCCTCATTATGGGGCCCCTCCCTCTCTTCTATAGGCTGTTGTTGTTGCTCCTGTTAGAAATTTGGCAAATGCTTTCTTCAATTTACCTCAGTTTTATGTTACTTCCTAAAGCAGAGTGGTGAATCTTACAACTCTGCTATAAAAATCAGTGAGCTGCATCAAGTTGAAAAGCGATTCATACACGATGAAACTTTCTCACTATGCCTTCATCCTAAGCTCTGGAAATTTCCATCAACAAAATTCACATAATGATCACGAAAGCTTCAAAAAATGTTTGATAAAACACAAAAAGGAAACTAAACTTCCAAAAACAAACTCTCTGATGTTCTTCACACATAACTTTAAAATAACGGAATAAGTTAACCACCTGTGTATTTTTAAATATTTTTAGTATTGTATAAATGTTTTTCTTTTTTGTGAGGACATCAATGGAAATAAGCTATTTATTAAAGCTTTCTTGGGCTATCCCTGGCTTCTGCCTTTTACTGTTCTTAATATTTTTGTGTTTTTGTATTGTGACTGTCATTATAAATTATCTTTTTGCCAGAATAAATAAATGAATGATAAAAATGTGTGAGAGGTAGTGCCAAACTAGTCATTGTAACAGCGAATGGGGGCCCAGGGACAACAAAGGACCGAGCCAAACGAATGACTTTCTTAATGAGTTTTAGACTGACCTGGTTACTTGTATCTACTGATGTGCCATTCTGGGTAGGTCCTTTAGATGTCTCCTTGACATCATCTGGCAAAATGGACTTCTCCGGCCCAAAATACTTGAGACGCTGCTCAGGAGTTAATTTCTTCAACTTCTTCTCTTTGTTCTCTTCCTCCTTAATTTTTGCCTGAAACAGAAATGGGAGATGAAACAACACTTCGTGTAAAAAATGACATAAGCAGCTGGACCAGTGTGAACCACATCCTTCTGTTTGCTCCGTGTGCTTGAACTAGGTCTCAGAATGTGTACATCCCTTAGATTAATTAAGCTTTGCTGCCATTGCC